TTTATAACTTCTTCATTAAATATGTCTGCAAACAGCAGCCCATAAAAACCTGTAGCAATTAAGTGGTTAAATGAACTGCCTCCCTTGTCAATTTTAAGGGAGTGATTAATACTAGATCGTCCCTTTACTAATTAGATTCTCCCTCGTCTTTCAGCTTTAAAGTCGGATGAAAATGGAGGCTGTTTGCTCCACGAGGAGCCTGGTAGGCTAATGAGCACGTCCCCCGCCACGTCTCTGACGGTGGCACCTGCGGAAGGACAGGGTGAGTGGTGTGGTTTCCGTGAGGCTGGCAGCCGGTGGGGCACGGCTGTGCGTGGAGCCAGAAGGTGCTCCAGGCGCGTCACCTGCCCGGGCCCCTCGCCCACGGGAAAGGTCCGCTCCTGTCTTTAAACCTCGTGCGGCGCGAGAGCCCACGCAGGGGGCGGCAGGTCGGCAGGTCGGCGAGCCTCGAGTCTGGGACTGACCAGCTGCAGGCCCGGGCAGCGGCGGGTGGGGAGGAGGGTAAACAGGCGGCCGCGCCGAGGGATTGCTGCAGAAGCCGCCGCCTGGGCTGCAGCGCCGGGGAGCTCCCGCCCTGGCTGCGACGGGGATCCATCAGCTGGAGAAATGGGGCAACTGCTTACAAGGGAAATAAAGAGCGGCAGAGACGGGGAATATTTATATGCCCATCTTCTCACTCCGAGGGAAGATGCTTCATCACGGGGGCTGGCTGCGAAATTACACTTCTCCAGGCTCTGAACACAGAGAGCCTTTGTCTGGGCGGCAGGGAGGCTGATAAGGGCCTCATGGGGACAACAGCTCCACGGGGTCACTCTCTGTCCTCCTGCAGAGCCAAGCTGGCTGCTGCCCAGTCCCCTGGGGGAGGCCGAGGTGCGGCAGGCCAGCCGCGCTGACGCCACCGGCCAGCGCCCGGGTTGCCTCCATGGCTGAGGGGAGATGAGCAAAAATTCACCCTCTCACGCCTCGAACTGGTTTGCACGGGCCCTGGGAGGACGGCAAAGCCCCTGCTCGGCGCGGGGGATGGGCGTATCGGCAGGAGGACGGGGCCGGGCAGGAGCCAGGAGAGCGACAGCGTTCACGTGCGAATTTCTCTATTAATCACGGCGTCCTTCATCGCAGCCACCCACGCCACCACGGCGAGTGTCTGAACCATGAGAGGTGCTGCCTTTGCACAGATTTTTTTTTTTTTTTGGCAAAATCTGCTAGATGGCATATACATTGATTGTAACTTTAAAACATGACCTTCCTTGCGTGTCTTTTGTGCAACGTAACCCGAGTGCGACACACACCACGACCCTGGGGAAATCCCTGCGAACGCAGCAGCAGCCGCCGTGGCACCAGCTCTGCAGCGGCACGGTGTGCGACAGCCCTGGGCAGGTGAGGAGGCCTGTGCGCAACGTGAGGCGCGGAAGCCAAGGGGCTGGCCCCGGGGCCAGACCTAAGAGGCAGACTTGTCCCCCTCCCCCAGGCACGCAGACTGGGAGACTGTCCTGTCCACACCCGGGAGTTGCCGACACAGCCCACGTGCAGCCCTGTAGACACGGTGCCTGAGCAGGGTGTGGTCAGTGGCTCTGGGCTGTGATCCGGCCACGGCATGTCCCCTTTTCCTGCTCTCTAGGCCTCCCTGGCAGCAGGGCCGAGCGGCACATTCTCCCTCGAGTTCGTCAGGATTGTGGGGGACAGGGATGCATTGCCTACCCACGGCCCAGGGGATGCCCCGTCTCCCTCCGTTACTCAGTGCCGGCAGCTCCTGGGTGGCAGACCTGGGTCCGCCGTGCGTCCTTGCTGGGTGGCCGCGGGCAGCTCTCCTGTCTGGCTGCTGCCTGCTCCCTTTGGTCGCCGGGGTTGGTTTCTCGGGGCTCCCCTGCTCCCATCCCTAATGGCCACGTTGCAGGTGGATTGGTCATGGGGTTCATTTGAGGGGTGACCTGTCCCTGAGGCCAGATGGTGGTGACAGGGCTTGGGCTTAAATTCAGAAACACCCTTCAGGCAGGGCACAGTGAGTACGGTTAAAGCCAGCAGGAAGGCACGGCGGCCTCAAGTCCGCACGGACAGAATGTGCTGCCTTCAGGCACGCACTTCTGTTCCTCAAAGTCGGGACCACCCTCCAGTGGATGGAGACTGCAGCCCATGCAGCCAGGGTCGCACCAGCCCTCTGTCTAGTCTGGGACATCCTGAGTGACGGCGCATTGCTGCCATAGGATTCTGGCAGGTCACCTACTGTCTCGAGTCCAGGCTCCTCCTGTACAAGGGTGGACGTCGCTCCCCCCCTTGTGGGCGGGGAGAGTGAAGGGGAGAAGCACCTGCCCAGCCGGAAGCAGCCCCTACGCGGACTCGAGGCTCGCCTGCGGGGGACCCGGCAAGACCAGGGAGGTGTCACGGACCAGCGGGGAGATGTGTGGTCACAGGTCTGTGCCACCGAACCCAAAGGCAGTCCCCACCCTTCCTTACTCTATTCTATTGTGGGTCACCCCCCCCCCGTTTTGGTTTATGGTGTAAAATACAAAGGTTTTTAGGGAGCAAAGCAAATTTCCAAGCTGAAATCTCTCTCCCCAGCCCCTACCAGGCCTATTAAGAACGGAACGGAGCAAAAGCACCATCATCCCGACGGGGGACACCCAGCTGCTCCCACGCGGAGCCCCAGAGCAGAGGCCAGCGGGCTGTGGGCGCCGCTTCTCAACTCAGGCCCCCGGCTCCCGGGAGCAATGCCGAGTTCACTGGCTAAAAGTAGCAATTTCGGGTTTATTTATGGAGAAAATCCTCGCATGCTGCTGTGGGAGGAGGAGCCAGCTCAGCAGGGCGTGGGGGCGTCAGCACTCTAGTCACCGTCACGTGCAGCAAGGGCGGCGTAGGTAACTTTGAATCCTGGGTTACACGAACAACTCCTTGGACTGCGGAAGATGCTCGTTACTGCTTTACACCCTGTTTGACGTCTCTAACCTCTCCCCACTCCCCACGCTCTCTGTACGTCAACTTGAATTGACTTCAACAGCGAGTACAGACCTGCTGCTTTTAACCCACGACTGAGACTGAGAAACCCAGCTAGCCTCGGCCACCCGGGGGACACTCGGCCTCCAGGAACAGAGCAGGGTGACCGCTGCCCTCCCCCTCTACGCGGACAAGGAGAACAGGAATGATGGTAACGATCGTGACCGTGACGACAGCAGCGGTAAGTGAGGCGGGCGGTGCTCAGACCACTGACACGATTGTCCCGGTTAAACCCACACCTGCTATGGGGTACATATTTTTATCACGGTCCTGATTTTGCAGAAAAGGAAATAGAGGCTCAGAAGGGTTACGGGAAGAGCTGAGCCTCAGCCCCAGGTGGCCGACTCTGGAGCACGTCCCCCCTCCCCGGCTCTGCCTATCTTGACTCTGAGCACCCCACAGCGAGACGGGACCTTCTGAGGGAACACGTATGTGGGCCAGCTTTTGGCCCTTGGAGCATTATGGTTTACAGGGTTCGTACCACATGCCCTGGGCCCTACACTGGGCCCCTCCCCTACTTCACCCCATCCCGACCTCAAAGGCCCAGCCAGGGTTGGGACCCAGGTCGCCTGGCCTCCTAAGCCCCGTTGTCCCCACCAGCCCAGAGAGCCTCCGAGAGGCACATGGAGGTATGCGAAGCCTCAAGTCCTCGAGCTGAGCATGCAGCAGGTGCTTAAGCAAACGGTGCCACGTTAGGGCCCACAGGTCGGCAGGCCGGAGTGTGGTAGGACGGGAGAGAGCCAGACATTCGGGAGGCTGCACCTAACCCAGTGATGGGGCACTCGTTGTCGGCCAGCTATTCCCACATATGCTCATTCAGCATCCACAAAACACCCCTAAGAGACGGCTTCCGTTGCTATCCCCGGTTAAACAGAGAGGGTGTGACTTGGCCCCAGGCGGCGGTGGAGCTGGGTTGGTCCAGACGTCTGTCCCGTGACCTTGGCCCTGCTTCGCCCCCTGTGGCTGCAGGCTGCCTCAGAGGCCTGTCCCGCAAAGCGCAGGGGGCCACCACAGCCCCCTTGCTCTTGGGAAGGGCAGACAAGAAACTCCACGCGCACCTGGATTTCCAATGCACCAGCCAGCCTGGTCTCTTTCCCAAGTCATATATAAAAAAATCTATAGATGACAATCAGGTTTGGTTTTTATGATTTACTGAAAATCTAAGACAAAGGGGGACTTTTTTGTCTTGTTTTTGCTATGACAGGTTTAGAAATTTGTTGTACTACATTGATTCAATTTTCCCTGATTTCAGCCATCTTTCAATAATGCAACCCGCGTCTGCTGGCTGGGTACACAAGAGAAAACCCAGAGGAACTGAGAATATTGAAATGGTTCTACCATTTCCATCTTTGAGACAAATGTTCCTCTCGCAGGAGAGCTGGCTGCGGCACGTGACTGCCTAACGACCTGCCGGACGTGAAAGCCGACGCGCGCCCCGACACTGGCTCACGGAAACGGGGGGCGCCGGCAGGTCTGCCCCCGGCTGGACTCCACGCTCGGAGCTGTCCTCCGGCCCCAGCCCTGGGCTTCCTTTCCACTGGGGACACGTCCACACCCCGGGCCGGGCCGGGCCGCGCTGGGGCGGGGTGGGGTGGATTGAGCGAGCGGGCAGCGCCGGCCCCTGCTCTAGCACACAACAGGTGCCGGCACTTCCCAAACCCTCCTGGTAGCAGATAACGAAACAAAAGCAGGAAGAAAAGTCAACCCCGCACCCATCCTCCAGCCTGCACCTCCTCTGAGCTGGGACATTTTTTAAAATGGAGCAAGACTGGTGGCTCCATCTGTCACTACCGCCTCTTGATGTGGAGAAGACAGGACGTTGGTCATATCTGACCGGGAGCCACAAATACGGGAGAAGGGAGTCGCTCTCCCATGAAGTGCCTTTGAGTGACAGGAAAGACGGGCACCCACCTGTCCTGCCGCCCTCCCCTCTGGGCGGCCCTTACCTCCTTCTCGATCTCTGCCAGAGACTTGATGGTGATCCCCAGGAGGTCGAAGGGCTGCATCTGCAACACAGGGCAAGTCACCCTCTTAGACGGCTGGAACGTGCTCCCTCAGACCGCCCTGTGGGACCCCGTTTCCACCGGTCTGGCGACTCTGGTCGTCACTGGGGCACAGGGAGGAGAAGGGAGAGCACGCTGCGGCAACAGGCTGCAGGGCCACCGCTCGGTCGCGTGTCCACGGCAGCCAGGGGTCTCGGGCCTGCTGCAAGACTGTGCCCGTGGCTGACCCACTTGCCCGTCTTCTCCTGCTGCCAAAGAGACGCAGGTGGGCTCTTCCTTGCTGCAGCTGCGGGCTGGGAGGTGCCCAAGGCGCCGTGACGGCTGCACGTATTTGGCGGCCGTGGGTCTGAGGGATCGCGGGAGTCTCTTGTCCAGGACTCCGCGGGACCCAGGGAAGGGGATGGGGGATTCCGGGTCTCCGAAAATGCCAGGTGAATGAAGCAACCGTCCACCAATTACCACTTGAGAAATCCACGTGGTAAAAAAATGGTAACATCACGTTTTAATGAGAGTTTCTATAATTTCATGATGACTGAGGACCTTTCTTTGAAAACGGTGGCTTTTCATCACACAGCATGAAAAATCAAACACACATGGCAACGACCATTAGCGGGAGGCCCGGGAAGCCTGGGCTGAAACACCTGGGGGACAGAGGGGGCCCGAGTCTGTGAGGCCCCCGGCCTGAGTCCTTGTGGTCACGTCAGTGTCCTGTGTCCCCGAGAGGGGCCGGAGCCTGGCCTCCTGGCGGCCTGGCATGAGCAGGTGAGGCCCGAGGGCCCTCACGGTCCTGAACCGTGGCAGCCCAGGGACGGGAGCGGGCTAGGGCCCTCCCCGTGCCAGCGAGACTGGCGCCGGAGTCCCAGGACTGGGTTCAAAACTGGGCTCAGCACCTCCTGTCCTCGCCTGCGAAAGGGCCTCCTGGCCAGGCTGCGCACTGAGCTTGAGGAGAGCAGGAAGCGCGGGGCGCGGGGCCGGCCCGAGTCCGTGGCCTTCGGCACTTGCTGAGTCGGCGGCAGCACGTTCGCAGGGCGATCTTGGGACGGGGCCACCGAAGCAGACACTGCGCTCCCGGCTGCCGTGCCAGTGGCCACGGAGCAGCCTGGCTGTCTCTGCGCCGCCAGCCGAGTGGCGATCCCGGGATCCCGCAGAGGTCCAGCTGTTGCATCATTAGGCTCTAACTACCCCGCTAAACTCCCCCAATTTGGAGCTGGTGAGCAGGACAGAGCAGCCTCTCCCAGGGAACGGCGGGAGAGGCGCCAGCGTCTCCATGGCAACGCGGCCAAGTGGAGTCGGCTGAAGTTACTCAAGCTCTGCGTGTCACGTCACGAGCATTTTTCAAGATTAAGCTGCTTACTAGAAGGGTTCAGGGGAGGCCTATTATATTTCATGAAAATGGAAACTACAGAGCAGGTCAAATCGCAAGCCGGGTGGCTTTAAGCTGGATCCAAGAAAAACACTGAAGGATTCCTTAGCTGGTGCCCGAACTGGGGCCTTCGCGTTTATTAGCTACTCAAAGCAAACTTCTGCAGAAAGGATAAAAACCAGAAACGAGTTTGCTGGGCCGGCGCGGATGGGGCCGGCATGGGCGAGAGAGGGCCACTGCCACCTTGGGGCTGGCGCCAGCTGGGCGAGGACCCCAGGAGTGCTGGGGGCCGCAGCCCATGGCGGCACCTCACGTGGTCTAGTCAACCTTAGGGCCAGGCCAGCCCACGCAGCCCCTCCTGTCACTAACGGTGGCTGGGGGCCCAGCCTGGGCGCGTGTGCTCACGTGTGCCCTGTGGTCAGTGCTCCTGTGAGCGGGAGCCCACAGCTGGAGGCTCTGTGCCCGCACACGGGGCCTCCCAGCCAGAGCAGGGCGTGCGGTTAGCACAGGACGCACGAGTGACAACGGGAAAGCCGGGCAGCCTCCTTCACGCGGGGAGCTGTCATTGCTAAATAAGAAAGAACAAAACAGACTAAGCTGGGCTTGGGAAACAGGAACATTCACGCAGCCCGCGAGGTTCGGTTGATTAGCCACCACGTGTGACCTGGGAGAGGCTCAGCTGCGCCCGAGCCGCCTGCTAACCTGTCTCAAGCTTCTCCCTGTCCCCTCAGCCACGTTCCCCTCACTCTTCAAGCTCCTGCGACTTGAGGCACTAGCTGGAGGGGCCAGAGATGAGCAGACCCACCCCAGCCCTCGGGAAGTGGAGCAGACGCAGGGGCCACCTCCGGGGAGAGAGAGGCCACCCAGGCAGACGTGAGTCCAGAGGGGCCGGGGAGGGCGAGGGCCGCCAGGACAGCCCTGTGCGCTGTACCAGGATGGTGGGACTTCAGGCTGAGGGTGGCAGAGGAAGGGCGAGCATGCATGAAACTTACACTTTCTGGAACACAGGAAAACTTCTCGGAAATCATAAAAGGCACACCATCCATTGCTGCAAAAGAAGAAAAAAAGGAAATGGCGTTGAAGACACTGCCCATGTCTGCTGACCTAAGGCGTCAGCACAGAGTATGAACGAGTTCCTGGCTGGCGCCAGCTGGCACCCAGCTCAGGTGAGCGGGAGCTCCGGGGTGTGAGCAGGAGCCACCCCTGCTCCCGAGACCCACGACCCAGCGAGGGAGGCAGGCGCCCCACTGGTGCTGAACACCAGGCAGATGTGTGCACAAGAGCTCTGGGAGCAGAGGAGGGCTGGTCTGGGCCCCCATGTGCCACCCCCGCACGGGAGTGTGGCCTCCAACTTGTCAGTGGTGGGACCCGCCAAGGGACTGACAGCAGGAAGCAGGGGACAGAGGCTTGGCAAAGAGGTGGGCAGAAAGCACAATCATCAGACGTTCTCCACGCAGCTGGCGGGCTCGTGGGAAAGCCCAAGTTGGAGGAAGGAGTAGTTCTGGAGTCAGACTGAGCTTGGATCCTGGCCGTGACTTCAGATGAACAACTGAAGCTACTTTTAAAACGCGGATGGCACCGCCTACGTGAAAGCAGCACTGTGCGTGAGGAGCGTCACGTGTGGGGTGCCGGCTGGCGAGCACGCAGTGGGCGGGCACTCTAGGTGGGGGGAGGGTCACCTGTGCTGACTCTCGGCTGCTCAGTCCTGGGCTTCGACTCAAGGTGCGCCAGTGTGCTCGACTTCAACAGGACGAGAAAGCCAGGGTGTGAGACGGAGACCCAAGGAACGAAAACGCCGGGGCCCAGAGGTGCAGTCCCTTTTCTGCAGAATGCCCCCCCCCCCATCCACCCTGTCCCAGGTCATCACTGCCAAGGGCACTTAGAGAAAAACACGACCTGGAGCCGGCTCTGCAGAGAGTGCTTTCTACGAACTGCTATGTCGTCGTCGCAGAGGAGGAAACCTCGCCATGCTGGGGGAGCAGGTCACACCGGGCACGATGTGACACGGGCACTCACAGTGTGGGCACGTGGTGCCACGCGGGGGTACCGACACGTGGGCAGAGACCTCTCCCGGCATCTGAGCAGAGTCAGGAGCGAGTGGGGCCACGGGCCTGTGCCGGGACCTGGAGCCCAGCGGTCGGGGCCGGGGCCTCACCCCGAGGGTCTGGTTTTGTGGTAGGCTGTGGTTTTAGGGAGAGAGGGAGTGAGCAGGATAGGAGCTGTGGGGAGTGGGCTCCCCAGGAAACGGCACTCTTCGCTACCCCCAGTGTCTCCTGACGTCAGGCCTACTCTGGCATCTAAGAGGCACAGAGTTCCTTCCAACCCTCATAAAGAGCAGCAGGAGCAGAAGGACACAGAGCAGGAGCGAGGGAAGTTACAGAAAGAAAAGACGTCTGGGATAAATCTGACTGGCAAGAGGAGTCCAGTGGCTTGTTTTAAGCTATGTTCGTACTATATTTTAGTGAAGAAAATAACGAGACCTTCTCTGGTCAGTACGAAGGGAGAGACAGAGCGCAGCCGGCTCCAGCTGCTGCACCGAGGCCTCCTCCTCCCTGGGAAGCCGCTGCCCCAAGCTCGGCTGCTGGGGCCCCCAGGGACACCTGTGGTCAGAGGCCTCCTGCCGTCACCTGTGCCCCTGCAACCTGCGGGAACCGCACAGAGGAGTGAGGGTGGAAACAGAAAGGAGGGCAGGGGAAAAGCCCAGAATAATCTTACGCAGTACACCATGCATTCAAACATACAAGTGCAATCTGAGCACCTCCCTGTACTTGCTCATTTACGGCTGAAAAAATTCAGTAGTGAATAAAGAACCCCCAAAAACCCTTCTGGAGGGGGACGGAACCAAGTCCCACCCAGTATCCAGGACGAGGCATGCCAGGATCCTGCCATCCCCCACCTCTGCCCAGTGCCAGGTGCGAGCCAATGCTCACCCTCACGGCATGCTGACTTCTGAGCCCTCCTGAGGTCACTGAGATGGGCTGGGAACTTGCATCATTTCTGATCATTTTACAGATCTGGAGGCAGAGGACTGGAGAAGCTGGAGCTTGCCAGGGTCTACCAGGTAGGAAGCAGTGACCCCAAAGCCCCAGAGGGCACAGCCTCCTTTACCTGTCCTGTAGCTCCCGAGGTCCAGTCTGCCACGGCCCAGTCATGTGCCAGCTTGCCGCAGGTGTGTTTCACACGCCCACCTTTCTGTGGCTTCTCCCGCCTACCAGACAGATGCAGGTGTCTGGTGCCAAGTGCCGGAGCACAGGCCCGGCTGGAGACCCACTGCCTCCTCCCTCCCCAGTGGGTGTCAGAGACCTTATTAGTGTTTGGGGGTGAAGAGCTCCCTCTCCCTGGTGGTAGGTGCTGGATGTAATGTATGTTTTGAGAGCTTATATGTTAAAAAGGTGGCAAGGTGACCTGCAGAGACCTGATCACACTTGGGAACCGAGAGCTGGGGAGTCCTGAGGACTGGAGAGAGGGAGGGAAGGGGCTCGCCCCAGTCAGAGGCCGTCAGTTCATCCTGCTGGTGCCTCCGAAGGCCAGTGGGGGGGGGGGTTTCCAAACAGGGTCCTGGCTGTATCTCAGGCCCTATGCCCCTTGCAGGCGCCGCCTTCGAGGCCTTCGTTTTCCATTCCACCCTCTGTGCCTGTGCCCTGCCGGCCTCCCGGGGTCCGCTGAGGGCCTCTCCTGCAGGAAGCCCTCCCTGGGCCTACCTGGGGACTGGCCGGGCCTCCTCTCCTGGAGGGTCCCCATGAGGCTCACCCCTGCATCCTATGTCCCCGCACAGGTAAGGGCCTGTCCCCAGGACAGGGATCTTGGGATCTGGGTGGGGGGCTGTGGCCTGGGGCACCTGTGTCTAACTTCTCTGAGGACCCGGGGAACGGCTGACCCACCCCTGCTGGTGCTGAGGAGGAAAGCCATGGGTGGGAGGAGTCTGAGAATCACCTCCTAGGGGCTGGGGAGATCTAAGCAGGGAGGGAATTGAAAAAAGTAATTTATTGAGGTGAAATTTACATAATATAAAGTTAACCAAAGTGAACCATTCAGTGGCACTGAGCACATTCACAATGTCATGCGACCGCCACCTCTGTCTAGTTTCTGAGCACTCCCACCCTTCAGAGTAAACCCCCTTACTTTTAAGCAGTTTCTCCTTCTTCCCATAAGGAATGTCTTTTTCTCCCTCCAACTGAGGGTCTTGTCTTTGAGAGAGAAGAATCCAGAAACATGGCGGTCCCTTAAGACTGCCTGTCTGGGCCTGGTGGCCTGACCTCCATCCTGTCGTGTTCCTGCCCAGTTAGGTGTGACAGGGGTGAGGAGGATGGGTTTGCCCAGACTGGCTGTCTGACTTGGAGGGCTTTACATAAAAACCGATGAGGAAAAAGTAACTTGCAAAAACTGCATGCCAGTAATGATGGCATTTTGATGTACATATATATAATATGTAGATATCATGCATCTTCATGATACATAATGTATAATACATATTTACACGGTATGTGTACATGTAAACGTACACACATGCGTCCCCCCCCACACTCCTGCGGGGGTTGTCTCTTAGCCACTGGGTGCCTGGCGGTGGGCAGAGGACCCAGTACAGCTCCCAGCCGGCTGGAGGGAGGCTCTTGCGGAGGGCCCCCCCCCATATCACCTTCCAGAGGGACGTGTTCCCTCCCAGACCTTCTGAGCAACCAGGGAGTCGCAGGGTGATGGCCAAGCCGCTCACGTGAGCACATCGAGGTGTCTGGGTAAGGCACACCTTCTGTTCCTGGGGCAGGCTTGACAGTAATTTGTTACAGAAAAGCCTCTTGCAAAGTGACATTCTCATGGGAACACAACAAAGGGGTCCCCTGGGAGAGAACGGAGGGGAGACACGTTCCTGAGACCATCTAGGAAGCCAGACGCAGGGAGAGGGTGGCCTGCGGGACCCGGTGGCCGACACATCCCAGCTGGGCCAGCGGCAGAGGCAACAAGAACCGCTGGGACCTGGTCCTGATCGCGAGAACCAGCCGTCCGGCACTGCCACGGAAACAGGATGATCGCTGCTTTGTCTGGAGTTCATGACAGAAAGCACGGTCAGGTGCTCCTCGTACTCGCCCAGGAAACCGATTTTAACTAACTTGGGGAAAGGAGGACAAGCGGACAGAATCCAAGGGGCTGAAGCTCCCAGCGGGAGCTGAGCTAGAGGAACAAGACCTCGCCCAAGCCCTTCTCACCCACACGGGGTCTCCAGTCGCCAGGAGCCTGCGAGAGTTGACGGAGCAGAGATCTGCCCACCAAATTCACTTATTTTTAAAAATCTAGTATATTGAAGATTCAGACAGGCTGAAAGAACGTGGGTTTCAGCAAAGCATTTGACAAAATTTCTCATGTTATCCATGTAGACATGATGGATAAATGTGGCTGGAGTTGTTAAGGTTTGGAGGATCCACAACTCGTTACCTGCACATTCCAGAAGCTGATTAATAGACCCGTGTTAACCCTGAGTGACCTCTCTGAGGGTGACCGGGCGTTATCAATTACTTAAATGAGGCTGCGCGTAGTGTGCTTGCCCAGCACGTGGCTGATGGCAAGCCTGGGTAGACGGTCTATAAACTGGATAACAGAGTGGAATCCAGTAAGGATCTCAAGAAGTTTGGATCATGGGCTAAACTTAATGGATGGAGTTGACCAGAGGTCAGTGTAGAGTCCTGTAGTTTGGGTCTAAAAGCCCAGCTGTGTTAGCTGGAATGACAGACTTGGAGTAACAGCAGGAGACAGGAGAAATGCCTTGGTTGTGGTTAAGTCACTGATGCGATCTGACTATTTAGAGAAGGGGGTGCCAGCACAGGGTAGGAGTTCTGCAGTCTCGGTGCCCAGGAGGAGCAATGGCCCGTCTTGCTCTGCCCCGAGCTTGAGTGTGGTGCTTGGTGCCCAGACTGCACTCTCAGGGGGTCACCCTCCAAAGAGGCTGGGATGGTGAGGGGACTCGAAGCCAGACCACATGAGCAAAGAGCAGCAGCCACCAGGTCTGATGTCCCGGCAGGCAGGATTCTGCCCATTTCTGCTCACCTGGCCTCTGTC